TTATTTTCAGTACACAGTCTCACCACCTGCTCTGTGACAAGGCACAGGTCTTCCTGGCCTCTGCTTGATGTCAGAGCCTGCAAATCATTCTTGCTGTTATCCTCTGCAAAGTAAGCAGGTATTTACTTAGGATGATTAATGCAACAAGGCTAATGTCAAACCAAAACACCTTTCTCCTTGAACAGTTAGGTACCTGCAGGTACTCTGCTTCCACAGGTTACTTAATTATTCAGTCCAACAATATTTGCTCTGCTTCCACAGGATACTTAATTATTCAGTCCAACAATATTTAAATCCTTCATCACAATGCATAGTAAATAGGACTGTGTTTCCCTGTTCCAAGAGCTGTAAAGTTATCTCAACATATGCAAAGAGCAAAGTCTTCAGTTTATCCATGCATCTGTTTGGCACATAAGGAGATCTACAAGTTGTTTACTAATGTCTTATTTCTGGACAACATAGCCAAAATATAAAGTACAGATGCCCATATCATGTAAGGTCTAGGTAGACTGCCATGTTAACCTAGTTGAAACATGTACATGGAGGGGAAATGAGAACTCAGGAGTCCTTAGGTGCTGTTTCACTTTCAAACTATTCTTACAAATGTGTGCACTATCTGTGTGCACCCATCAGCTCACCCACCCACAGTTTTCAGCCTTGCATGACTCCTGTTGTGAAATTAGCTCTGCCACTAGCACAAGGAAACAAGATCACAAGCGTCACCTCATATAGTAGTTTTCCACTCACCATATTCCAATAAAGTTTAGGAAGTTTACAATGATTAACATCAGCCTGAGAATGAAGCTGGACACATGCCCAACCACCACCAAACATTTAAAGCCATTATAAGTTTCTTATTTTATCCTGCTTCTCTCCAGGGGTTTACAGAGTTAGCTCAAAATTAGAGCTATTTGCAGGTGTACAAAAGTGCCTCCCCTCAGTGTTATTCTAATGAATATGTGCCACAAAATAAGTCTTCCACAACCACCCCATCTTGGGGCCTTTCCCTTATGGATTCCCAGAAAAGAGGGTAAAGGACTTTGTGTGTTACTCCACAGCTACAGATGATGCACAGCCCTGTTCAGACACTGTAGCTTCTTGTGACACTACCTGAGGACATAAAACCTCAAAGCAAATATTTCTCACCCTACCTGAAGCTGCTCTCTCCAGAACCCTGCTGATAGCAGGCAGGTCTGGAAACAGCAGTCTTGGCCTGAAAAGCATATCGG